AGCATAGTGTTAAATACAGATGTTTGTTAGCTTATCATAATGACGAACATTCACTCTGACGAGATCCGGTGTGGAGCAACTTTAGAACGTTTTTAATCAGGTGACAAAATGACGCTTCTGTTTACTTTTGAAACCACTGTCAGTTAAAGATGATATGGAGCTTATAGCGATGTATACTAGTATGCATTTAAAATACACTGTTTACTGAAATTTGGACATGCGCTGCTCAATGACTGTAGCGCTTTAATAATAATAACTAAAAAAATAATGTTGGATTTAAACGTTTCGTCTCACAGAGCAAGACAATATTCCCCCTTTTATAAACATAACTTTGCAGTCATGGTTCACTGTTTAAAGCTCATTATTACATATAGCCATGTGAGATGTCACAAGCACTGGAAGTGTTCGACAATCGCGTTGTGGCATTACCATATTTGTATGTTTAAACATGCTTAATTTAGTTATTGTAAACAAGTGATTTGCCTTGCCAAAAGTGTTTGAACCGATTCGATTTCTGAGAGTTCACACTTGACAAAAATATTATGTACACTATGTCTCAAGAATACAATTTAGACTTTTAGTGCTAAATAATTTCATGTTTTTCCTGATTTGCAAAAATGTGTTTCTCGTGTTTGCAGTAACTTCACATTCTCTGTATTTTGAAATTGTCAAGAATAAACAACACAGAATAAAATGATTTATTGCACAAATATAAAACAAATATAGCAAATATCATCAGTCATATATGTACAAGCATGTGTGTTGACTTTGTAAGTGTGTGCCTCCATGTTGAATACAGTTTACATGATCAATAAGTTCTCGGCCTTCCTCATAAAACGTTACAGATAGAAGGTAGAAGTCAGTGCCAGGTCAGGTGAGTTGAAAATGTTAGATAGGAGTTCAAAGCCACATTTGGTTGCTGCTGTCGCTGCCACCTGTGCTATGTGGACAGGTGCATTGTCCTGGAGCAACAGTACACCAGCTCGAAGCTTTCCTTTCCTTTTCTCTTTGCTTGCTGCTCTTAACTGTCGCAGTTCTAAAGCATAGTACTCTCCATTGAATGTTTGACCCTTTTGCAAGTAGTCAATCGTGATGACTCCGAAAATCTCACCTTGCCGACTGATGTAACTTGCTTGAACTTCTTGGGCGACTGTGACACCTTGGGTGTCCATTGTTTGCTCTGCTCTTTTGATTCTGGGTCAAAGTGTTGAACCTATGTCTCATCTTGGGTCACACATCTCTTGAAGAAATTGTCGACCGATCACTGGTACCATAACGTTTGTTGCATCAGACTCATGATCGGTAGACCCAACTTCAAATCCTACATTAGGCTGAACACCTAAAGGGTCAACCCCTACCCTGGGTAAGTGGACCACAAACTCAATTGAATGGCCAATTCCACTGGCCGAAAGTCATACACTATTGAATGCGACTTTGGGGGAACCTTGTGTCACCCTTCCCTCGTCCTCACCACACACAAGACCTGGCTAGCCACCTGAAAGGGACTGGCAAGGGGAGGGGTTAACAGAAATTCGTTAAAACCGTTTTAACCTCAGGGGTGTCCGTATGTGTATCTTTGTTGGTTTCTATGGTATCCAGGCAGCACAGCAGCTTCACGAATGTGATATCCACAGGCATGTAGTAAAACAAATATAATCATAAATCAATCTCACAAACAATTTAATTACATCAATGGTTATCTGCATATACCAATATTACATAACATAGAAATAAAACACTAACACGTATGCTGCTATACGACCTCAGCGTACACACTCACTGTAATTAGCTTAACAATATAAAAACTAGCGTAAACCATCACTAACAGTAATTTGCACTACCAACCACACTAACGGGTGCACCTCTAAGCAAAATACAACGTCAACTCTTATTAACTAACTGAGCAGTATTTATACTCTGACCACTGTTATCTCGCTATACAAACTACAACAGACTGTCAATCACACAAGTCAAACAGTCAACTACTGTACAGCTCAGAACACCATCATGAAAACAAGTATTATATTAAAATGAAAAACAACATAAACATTGCATCACAATATTTGTAGGAACAATCTATAAACTCTAAGCCTGGTATTCAACAAATTCATAGACTAGTTAAAGCACAAATTCCATGAAAGAAATAAACTG